AGGCTCACACCTGCTTAGCTTCAGTTGGTTCTATAATCTGCTCATCTCGGGGAAGTGGCAGTAGAGAGGAGGACAGTAAATGGCTTCTTTTTTTATTTTTACTGTTCTCTTGCTCGGGAAAGGCTGCCACTGACTGGAGTCAGCCTCTATCCCTGCATGTTTGGTAAGGCTTCTGGGAGTCTATCCCAGAAGCCGCAGGTGCACAATCAAGAGCAGGACCACTCTGGCCCCTTTGCTGGGACGTCTCAGTGTGTTGGAAGAGTCTTGGCGAAAGAGATCATTTGAAATAATTTTGACCAGCTTGTCTTTTGAGAGGTGGTAGAAAACTGGAGCACCCAGCTAAAAACCCATGCAAAGGCGGGAGAACATGCAAACCCCATACAGACCAGTGCCCAAGCCACGGACCTTGGAACCATTAGGAAATTGTGCTAACCACCATTTGACTGTGGTTTCTTTATTGTAGTAATAGACTTAAAATTGTACAACACAAGGCATAGATCTAAAATAATCAGACATTCTTATAGTGTCTGTTGCTCTGAATAATATACAAACCCTTAAAATAGTGCATATGTAAACTTCCAAATAATAAAAAAAACGGTTTTCTGTGCACTTTGGGGGGGTGGGGGTGCTTAGCAGGATTCACCACAAGATGGCGATATGCAACCAAGAAAGCTAAATACAGCCTAACCAGCCTGAATTTGTACACTCTTTATGTGTAATTTGTTCATTTCATATGGAAAGCAAGATCTCTTCTCTATATTTATGCTGAAGAATTTATATATTGAGTAACTGAAGGGGACGCCTAGGTAATAGAGAGGAAGCTTTTGAAACAGTTGCTCTTTTAACACCTACAGTATACACAAGTGTAAGCGCAGCCATATTGTGAGCACCCAATTATAGAAAGCAGTAATACAGCTGCCGTTTATAGTATGGTAATTGATACAGTTTTTCCTTTTTTATCCTAGTTTAATACCGAAACGCAGTGCACTTTCTGCATCCTCTCCCCTGTTAGAAAACTAGAAGAAATCATTTTGAAACGGTTCAAGGAAACCAGGGGATTTGCTTGTTACGGCCCCTCATATGGTTTCGTCTTGGGCACAGGAGCCTCGACTACATGACGGGTACATCCCAAAGGATAAATCCCATGCTTATGCTCACAGAGAGGAGGGAAGTGAAATATAGTCACGTGTCGCTTCAGCCCGTAAGTTTCATCACTGATGCTGCTGCTTTTGTGGAGCGGTGGCTCTGTGGCTAAAGATCTATGCCTGTTCCTGGAAGGTTGCCAGTTCGTATCCCGCGGCCGGCAGAGGAATCCTTCTCCAGTAGGTCCCTGAGTAAGGCCCTTAACCCCAGCTGCTCCAGGGGCGCCGTATAAATAACTGACCCTGCGCTCTGACCCCCAGCTTCTCTCCCTGTGTGTCTCATGGAGAGCAAGCTGGGGTATGCGAAAAGACAAATTCCTAAAACAAGAAATTGTATATGGCCAATAAAGTGATCTTATCTTCCGCGAAGACAATGCGCATCACTGGACATGGCGGTGAGGCCTTGTTGTGGTTTGGTTTGGCTTTTTCAGGTGAGGTCCCGAGTGAGAGATTTCGTGCAGTCCCTGTGCCAGCAGATGTTGTCGGAGCACCTTTCCCAAAGCGGCCGCCAAGGGGCCACAGAGGGGCAGATAACGGTGCCCAATGAGGAAGCCCCCCGCCCTGAGGGGCTCCCCGCGGACGGACTCCTGGGCCCGCTGCCCCACGCCCTCGTGGTCAGCCACGGCGCGTACATGAGGGACACGATGAAGTACTTCGTGGAGGAGCTGCAGTGCGCTCTCCCCCCCCACCTCAAGATGTCCCAGGTCTTCTCTGCCTGCCCCAACACGGGGATGTGCCGTTTTGTCATCACTGTGCGCCGTGGGGAGAAGCTGCTGCCGGCGGCCCAGTGCGTCTTTATCAACAGGACTGATCACCTCGAAGCCCTTCGTGAGGAAAAATAGCTGAGTGTTCAAACTCGGAGGCCTGTCTGTTAGCGGCCGGTAAACAAGCACGGAAACAGTGTGGGTTAGACTTTTGAAATTCAGAGTGCCCTCAGATTAGTTGGCCACCCCCTATTAAAATCCGTCCGCTACCTTTTCGATGATACAGCACTTTCCCATTCTGCTCAACGGCGGGTTCTTATGTAATTCAAGAGTCCCCTTGGCACAGTATTAACACCTCCATGTTTTCTGGGTTGGTTTAGCGTACCCCAGTGGAAACAAGATTACAGGATGACTAAACTAGGAGTCTTCTGAATTAAATATTTGACCCTTTTCACAGGAATGCCAATATAGAAACAAACCGACTCTAAAAATGAAATTAAAGCCTGAATGAAGCTGCACAGTTCCATCCACGGCCCAGGCTCAGTTATTTCCATCAAATTCAAAAGCAATCTTGTTGTAAAATCCTAAATCTTAAAGTGTTTTCCCACTGCTTCCTGGAAATACTTGGAGGTATTGTCATGGAGTATAAGTTAGGGTGTCTTGATGTTAAACTGGCTGCTTAACATAGAGCCAAGTGATTAAGTTATTTTTATCATATGGTTGGTTTTAATGTCTTCCCAGTGTGTTTTTATCACATTCTTAATAATCGGAGTTATGCACTACAAAACAAAGGGCCCTATTCACAAAGCTCTTTTTTTTCCCCAAACACTAGATTTACCATAATTGCTTAGAAAAATGATTTCAGAAAAGAAAAATGATCTCAACTACAGTACTTCTAGGAAAACTGTTGTTAAAAGATGTGGAATCTTGTTAAACCCCATTGAGATCTTTTCCGATGAAAATAGCATGTGTGTACAGTAGGAGACCTAAATATTGGCATTCTCCATCTCCAATATCATGATTTTTAAGTATCTTAAATATGTTTAGCATCAAAATAAACTCGTCACTCTATGTGTGTTTAAACATTGTGATTCAGTTTATGATCAAGATCTAACTTTTGTTATTACAGTAAACCTTTGGTTCAGCGAATCTCTCTTTAACAGTCTTTAGATTTAACAGACAAAATTTACTAACGAGGGATTTCGTCTATAAAATAACAGGTAAGGTGTATGGCAATTGGTATAGGAATTTGTGAATTGCTCATGATGGGTGGTGTGTTTGTGCTTTGAATTGTTAAACGATCATTTTAAAAAATATACATTGAATTTCTACCAATATGTAGAGTTTAAGGCATATCCCTAGAGGTGTACTGTAGGTCAGTTGCTTGCAATTTGTGTTTGTGTTTTTTATGTTTTAGGGAATTTTATAGAATATAATAATATGAAATAAAGATATAATTGTATCTTTATGATGAAAAAGGCGTGGGAACAATTTTCATTGACTGTGTTAATTGCAATTGTAAGAAATGTCATTCATAATTTAATGGACATTCAGCAATAACAGACACCACCATAAGTCCGTTAAACTGAGGGTTTACTGTAATATCCAATCAATCTACAGTATAGGTTATTACAGTTGTCACACTGATAACATTTAATCTATTCCATTTATGAACCTTTCATTACTGCCTTTCACACCCCTAATTTAGAGCATTCCCATATGGTTTAAAAGCACTACAGTATTACATTTAATACATTGTAATGAATTAAGTATTGAATATTGGAGAATGCCAGTGTTTACATCTATAACTGCATTTAGCATGTATTAAAAAATTATGAAATTCCACCCAGCTCTAAGCAAAACTTCCACTGGGGAAAGCATATTTGACTGTTTTTGTTTCCTTCATGGAAAAACCTTTTAACCTGTACCAGACATTTTAATTTAATAAACTTTTATTAAAGTAATGTTTTTCCCTTTAGTGTTTTATGGGAGGGAGCAGAGAGGAGGTATTGGTATGTGTAGTGGGGGAGACAATGGAGATTTCCTTAATAATCTAAAGCAAATATGCTAAGCAAATATTGCAGACCATGTTATCTATGCCAATTGAGACGACTGTTAAATCTTTTCATAATGTGAGCTGCTCTGCAGTTTTTATTCACATCGAGCAATTTAAATCAAAGTTTGCTTAGAATGAACCTGCTAGTAGCTATTCACAGTGACTTGGGTCTACAGAATGTGTTTAAATCCGTCTCTTCTGTGATGCCAAAAAGATTCCATCTGCGATCTTTGAATTACATCATCTGCCCCTGAAACACACATATGTTTAAATTGACTTTCACAAAAAGAAGATGTGTAGCAGGGAGTACGTGGGAAATATGAATTTTAAGGCCGAATAATCACATAGTTCAGAAAAGCCTTCCTAATGAATTTGCAGTGGTAAAGGTATTTGATGATCTTGACAGTTTAATGTGGTTTTGTTTTTCTTTTTCTTATATCTCCTAGTTTGCCCATCTCTTCAGAACCAGTTAGATACTTTATTGATCCCGTGAGGGAAATTGCAGTGCAACAGCAGCTCAGCACAGTGTAACGAAAT